TGTGATCCTGTGTGTGTGAAAGCTGCTCCAGCTCAGCGTCTCTCCTCCTCAGATCATTGATCTCCTGCTCCAGTCGCTCCAGTCGTCCTTCAGCTCGACTCACTGCAGTCTTCTCCTGATCTCTGATCAGCCGTATCAGCTCAGAGCGGCTTCTCTCAATGGAGTGGATGAGCTCAGTAAAGATCCTCTCACTGTCCTCCACTGCTGTCTGTGCAGAGCGCTGTTAGGACACACAGTGATTCAGGCTTCAGTGAGTCTGAACTGAGATGGCGACAAACTTCTCTTCTTCTCCAGACTCACCTTCTGAGACTCCACAGCCTCTCTCAGCTGCTGAAGATCTTTCTCTCTCTGCTGGATTCTCTGCTGGAGCGTCTTCTGCGTCTCCTTCAGCTGGTGCTGCAGGACAAACAGATGATAGTGAATCTCACAGAAAACTACTGCCACTAAATCAGATTAAGGCCTGTTTAACACTGCAAGTGTGAGTATTATAAAAGTGAAACTGACACAGACGTAGAGCTTCACACTGACAGGGTTTCTGTGTTCTGTGTAATTCAGCTGCAGCTCTACACCAAAATTAAACAGACTATTGGATCAATACACTGAGTATTAACTTGATCGTGAGTTTTAAATACCTGTTTCTCTGTCCTCTGTTCTGCTGCTGATACAATGTCATGGTTTTTATGTTCAATAATTGTACATAGCACACATATACATTTCTGGTCAGTGCGACAGAAAACCTCAAGGAGCTTCTCATGTTTCTGGCAGATCATCTCCTGCAGTCGTCCAGTGGCATCAGTCAAATTGTGTCTCTTTCCTTTAAACAAACTCTCATGTTGTTCGAGGTGATTCTGACAGTAAGAGTTCAGACACACCAGACAGGACTTGACGGCTTTGTATTTTCTTCCAGTACAGACGTCACACTGCACATCTCCAGCTCCAGCGTAACAGTCAGCAGAGAGTTTGGTCTTCTTCAGTTTCTCCACCACTTCAGCCAGCATGGTGTTTCTAGCTAAAGCAGGTCTTGGACTGAAGGTCTGTCTGCACTGAGGGCAGCTGTAGACTCTCTTCTGATCCTCCTGATCCCAGCAGTCTGTAATACAGCTCTTACAGTAACTGTGTCCACAGGAAGTTGTCACTGGATCCTTCAGGAGATCCAGACACACTGGACACAAGAACTCCTTCTGATCCACTGAAATTCTGGTTTCTGCCATTTTACTGCTTGAATACAGAGACACAAACACACAGCAGCTCAACTACACTTAAGTTTCTCTTTCCCTGAAATCAGGTGATTCCTGTTTCCTGCTTCTGTGTTTCAGTCACGTGTGTAAAACAAGTTTGTCTGCGAGTCTGTAAAGCAGGTTCCTTATTCCTGCTCCTATAGAGTCACACACACTAACGTGCATGTTGGGTTTGCATGTTTTATTGGTTCATTAAATGGGTCTAATGGTTTTCTACTGTCCAAACTGTAATTTTTCATGCCCATACCCTAACCCTAGACCTAAACCTACCCCTCACGCAAAACTTTCTGCATTTTTAGATTTTAGATGTTTTTTAAGCCATCTGGGAAGTGTCCTCATCAATGCTCCAGTTGCTAACAGAACCTAGGTTCCCTTTCAATACTGTTAACTCACATTAGGGGCTTTTGCACCGGAGGAACCTTTTCATAGTTCCTAGAACTATTGGCGGAAGTACCCGCTTTTTGGCATGTTCGCACTGCAGGAACTAGGAATGTATTTAGTTCTCCGTTTGGGTGAACTAAATTAGCTCCTACTTCAGAGTAGGGTCTAAAGCAGTACTTTAGGAATTACCAGTGATGTAAGTGTACACTGATTGGCCAAACGCATATGAAACACTGCTACCCAGCATTTTAAAAAAGCCATGTAAAAAAATTACACCAAGAACATGGAAAACAGCGTTAACGGCATTTACCTGTTGTCTGTAGTGTTGTGTTCTTTTCTCAACCTCGTTGATATGTAACACTGCTAGGTGTCACAGTAGATTAAGTCAGATTTTCATGCTCTTTCAGTCACGTAAATTGTGCGTTCACATTCCATCTCCATTATCACAAAGCTCCGGTCACGGCATCCTCCATTCACCGGTTGTTAACGTTTGTAAATGCAACGCATAAAGACGTCGCTGTCGGCCACTTCAGAGTTCCTGCTGCAGGTGTGAATGCAACCAGGAAAACGGCCCGAGGGGGAAATTGGTTCTCTAGGAACAACCCTGCCTCATGAGATGAGGGCCCTATGGGTAACATGGGCCAATAAGGGCACAACCAGCCCAGAATCAGCTAGGCCCTGGCCAAAAGGTCGGAATCCTCAGACAAAAATAGACCTGACTACTAGGATGGGTACAGGTTGATTAAGTGGACAAGATCCACGCCTACAGGGCAGAAATGTCCAAGTTATAAAACCTAGCAAAGGTAGACGACGAAGACCAGGCAGCTGCCGCACAGATATCTCCAATGGAAACTCTGCTGGACCAAGCCCAGGAGGAGGTCATTCCCCTGGTGAAGTGGGCCCTCACTTCAATATGGGGCACTGTGAGCCCACTGAGGCATAAGCCAGTGCAATGGTGTCTATTATCCAGCGGGTTAGTCTCTGCTTCATAACTAGCAGCCCTTTAGAGCGGCCTCCAAAGCATTCAAAGAGCTGCTCTGATTGCTGATTGGGGAGTAACTAGTTACAGGTAACAGCATTATGTAATTTAATTACAAATTAAATGTAACTGTAATCCTTTTTAGTTACTGAGAAAAATGTGTAATTAAATTACAGTTACTTATGAAAATGTTAACGATTACAAAAGGCGTTACATCTGAATTCTTGTATTAATATTGACTATTTCTTGTTATGATCTTAAATCTTTATTTAACCTCAGAACGATCTCAAAGTAAAAATAGATGATAAAGTGTGATTTTGTGGCGGCTGTGCTTTTAAATTAAATTATTATAATCTTAATTCAAGTGATAAAGGATTTTGAAAGTCTGACAGTAATCAGTGTTGAGTCTTACTGTAAGGTTAACCCTGCCTGGTTTGAATGTTTGAAAATGATTAACAGTTGAAAACATTTATGATGTTTTATTAACAAGGTTTGGGAGGAGCACGATCAGATAATCAATCAATTCAGCACAGGTGGAGCTTGTTTAGTTAATCATCTTAACTAGCCTAATGCATATATATATTCAGCCAAATTACCTCTGCCCCACAACAGTTTTCTGGCATCCAGCCTTATCTGACCGCCACTATGTCAGAGATTGAGCTCTTCCCGTCCGACAACGAGCTGGATGCTCCACCACAAGCCTTCGGCTCAAAAGCACCCCCGTCCCAAGACCGGCCAAAAGGTCGTTTCCTCCTCCGCCTGGTTCTGCATGGGCTGCGGCCTACAAAACCAGCTGTTCATTTGCCTAATCCCCAAAGACTCTGTTCAACACCACCAAAAAGACAGCCATCGCAATCCCCAGCATCTCCCTATGCCTGTGCTTCTCCATCCATCCCTACAAAAGGAAAATGGACCGTTGCGGTATTGAGACAAGCGCTGTCCAATTCAGAAGTTAAGTTCTCCCAAAAAATGAGTCAAGCCGAACTTTATGATATTTATGTCTTTCTGGAAAAAAGCTAATTCACCCACCTCCAAAAAGGTAACTAGAGCCCGTAAGGCCAAACGTTCTCATATCTCTATTACTTCATCTTCTTCCAGATCAAGTTCTGGCTCTCCTAGAGCGTTGAGACACAGTAGGCCGTCAGCAAGCCTGGGCCGCAACCCAGACTCTGCTGCTCCAGATACTCTACCACCTCTCTCCTCTGTTCAACTGTCCACCGTGGCTCCTTCAGCCACCGCACCGCACGCGACATCGCCCGCTAACATAACCTTCCAACCTCTTCCTATCCTTCCCAATTCCTGCACTCTACCTCCGGCAACAGAACCTAGCATGAGGCTGCCTCCGTTAGCCACTCAAGCCCAGCCACCTTACTATTACCCTTCCCTATCAATGACCTGCAGCCCCCACTGCAGACGCCCGTGTAGGGCCTCACCTGCCAGCAACGCAAGCCTATTTGCCCCCTCCCTCAATTCCTTCTACCTCTTCCTACTTACTTCAAGCACCCGGGGCTAATACATGCATGAGGCTGCCTCTGCAAATGGTTACAGCCCCTACTTCTCTTCCTTCCAACTTTCCTCTTCAATCCAAACCTCAGTTTACCTTATTCACTGCAGTCCCGCTACCTGCCCCACCAAACGCCGTTGTATCAGAGCCACCCCCCTTGGCCAAAAACATCAGGTCTCAGATTCTCACAGGTGCAGACATTGATCTCTCATCTCTCCTTTCTCTTCTCCCTCCTGCCGAATCTCATCGGCAAATAGATTGTGGGGATTTTTCCGTAACGCTAAAAAACCCAAAGCCCATTTCATCGCGCACACTCTCATTCTCCGAATTTGTCATAGCATTTGGCCGCTACACAGAGATAATTTGCTCGGATTTCCCCATAGATATAGGCTAGGTAAATCTGGGTATCATCAGCATAGCTGTGACAGGAAATTTGGTTCTTTCTCATTATTTGACTTATTGGGAGCATATACAGGCTAAACAAGAGCGGTGCAAGAATTGAGCCTTGTGGGACTCCGCATGTCATGGACGTCCACTTAGACTTATGCTCTCCTATACTCACATAATAACCTCTCCCTTCTAAGTATGACCTGAACCATTTGATTACCCAGATTGTAGACAATCTAATCAAAAAAGAAGTCGAGCCAGGTTTCATGATTGGCCCCTTCGACGCCCCCCCCTTCGAGTTTTTCACATCAGCCCTATCGGATTAGCCACAAGGAAGTTTTCAGGAATAAAAACGCTTGACAATCGATCTATCAGCCCCATGTAATTCCCCATTTTCTAGCATAAACAGCCTCATACCCCTCGAGGAATATTCTCTGCACTACCACAATATAGATCAAGCGATCAATATGATCAAAAGCGTAGGTCATGGTGCATGGCTGGCTAAAGTAGACATCACTTCAAAGTGATGCCTATTTACCCAGATTCATGGCATTTATTCATCATTTATTCAGGTTTATTTCTCAGTACGTTTAACCTTCGGATGTCTCTCACCCCCCCCCTCACAAATTAATCTATGGCTCCCCCTCCCCCAAAATAAAATATCCATGCTCAACAATGAAACTATCCCTTACTTCATTAAACAAAGTAAGACAGACCAAGAAAGATAAGGTCACTACATCTACATCTTCTACATTCCCTACATTCTACTAAATCCCCTCTCGACCCTCTATTTGTCAACGACTCTAACCACCCCGTTACATGTTTTTTGGGTTCCAAAAACACCTAAAACTAATCCTTGCTCAATCAGACTTACCTGCAGATAAATTTTCCTGCCACTCCTTTTGCATCTGGGCAGCAACCACAGCAGATCAAAAAGGCCTCTCACAGCAGCAGATACAAGCCCTCGTTCAATGGTCATCAGATGCCTTCAAAAGCTATATCAGGTCCAATCATTTCCACATAAAAGAAGCTCTAACCCTGATTCCACATAAAGGAAGATCTCGAATCATGTAGCTCATTCGGCGGTGGACGGGGCTCTCCCTTCTGATGCAGTGTGAGCCCTCCATCCATTGCATCGAGTCGCGTTGCTCATTCGGCGGTGGACGGGGCTCTCCCTTCTGTTGCAGTGAGCCACCACTTCCTTCAGTCACAGTGTGAGCCTTCCATCTGTCGTTCTCAAATCACATTGCTGCCCTCTGCCAGAATGTTGTCAATGGGAAGAAGGTTGACATTTCAACATGACAATGACCCAAAGTACACCGCAAAACTGAGCACACAGTGGTTGAAGGAGAAAAAGATGAATGTCCTTGCATGGCCTAATCAGAGTCCAGACTTAAACCCCACTGAAAATCTGTGCAATGACTTGAAGACTGCAGACCACAAACGTTCACCATCAGATTGAACTGAACTTGAGCAGTTCTGCAAAGAAGAGTGGGCAAATATTGCAAAGTCTAGATGTGCAAAGTTAGTAGAGACAAATCCCAACAGACTAAATGCTGTAATGAAAGCAAAAGGTGGTTCAACAAAATACTGACACAAGGGGCTGATCCTTTTTCCAACTCAGTGATTCTGGTTTTTATTTTTTTCTGACATGGTGTTTTATCTTTCACTTGGATGTTATAAGTTGCACTGAGTAAATGCAGCAGGATAAAACAAAAACTGTGTCCATCTTCATTTCAGGCTGCAAAGCAATAAAATGTGA